GTCTGCTGTTAACACCCTGTCGTTCTTTCTGTTCACCTGGTCCCTTTCAAGAAATTCGCTCTAATTAGCGGCTTGTGCCATAAGCATATGCGTGCCTCTTCCTGTCTTGTGATTAGAAGATTGTATGTTAATGCTCTCGATACATCTGAAAGAGAAATGAGAATGTTAAAATTCATTTAGCTTCCAAACGAATCATTTGAAGCAATGATTCTGCGAAATTTAAAGTTGGTCATAAAATAAGTCGTTTGAACTTTTCTTTACCTTTTTACACACATACGCACACGCACGCTGATAAAAACATTTTTAAAGGTATGCTATGGTCTGATGGTTGCGTTCAAGCCTGAAACAGACTGTTGCTGTTCGGTGCTGATTTCAGTGTCCACTTTAGTATATGCGTGTCTGATATATATATATATATATATATATATATATATATATATATATATAAAAAATTTATTTAGGCAGCAAATTCTCTTTTAGGCATGTCTGATTGAATAAATTACAGACATTATGTCTGATAATTCTTAATAAAATCCGTTCATACTCACGAATAACCTTCCGTGTATTGATGTTAAAGCATGAGAGAAATGTGCTATAGCTGTTTAAATTTCTTTTATTTTAATTTCCCAAGTACTTTCGATCTTCTTCCAAGATCATCTTCAGGGGTGCAAATGGTACAAAACTATATGCTTTTCATTAGTATAATGAATATATATATATATATATATATATATATATATATATATATATATATGCGTGTGTGTGAGTTCATTTTAGGATATAATCATATTAATAATTGGCTCTGTCGATTCATATAGCCATGTTTAAAAACTCTTTTCTAAGATGTCATCGTCTCAAACAAAACTCAGATTGAGCGTCACGCCAACTGAAATTGTTTCAAACAAATAATTAGAGAAACGGAAGTTATATGATAATAGATATTCGATTATTTTGTAAATGTAATTTGGCTATGCAGATGTTGAACTAAGTGAAAATGTAAGCGTCTGCATTGATTTTGAAATGGCGCGCAAACGCCTACCTCTATGTCTTTATTAGAATATGATCCTATCAAGTGTTCTGTACACAATACATTGTCTTATACGCATATACAGGCGTTTAAGCTAGGCTGGAAATGCTACATTAACTAAAATGAGAAATGTATTGGAAAATAATTACTGACCTCTGAGGTCAAGTCTATTTTATAACACGATCTTGTCCAATCAATGTTTCCGTATTTGTTTGACAGAACGAACACACAGACGCATCCATCTATGTGTCTATTTCGTTCTGTCTGTATTTATGCCTGTCTATCCCTGTCTGCTTATATACTTATCTATCTCGGTTTACCTACCACCAACCTATCTATCTATCTATCTATCTATCTATCTATCTATCTATCTATGTTCCTATCTGTCTAAGCGTTGCTTTGTTTGGTTCAACACTTGTAGAGAAGCACTCAGTGAGGTCCATATTCACTACGGTCGCGAACTGATCCGTAAAATGAACTTATTAACCGACATGATTCGACTTCGTGATTTATTTGATATATCTTTTCATGACGTGGGCGATAATGGCTCTTCACAACTTGTTTTTTATGCTCTGTTACTTTTGCCCATTACCATCCTTTTTTGTCTTTGTTTTGCCATACAAAGAATAGTTGTTTTCACTTGCCTTCAACAGGTCCTGTACGTGTTAAATTCTCCAGGCCATCTGTTGTGGAGTAGCTGAACACCCCTACAAGATGGACTGGTCTATATTTAAACAGCAATCTCTCTTACTGAGGAAGACGAGTTAACGATTAATCGTTACTCTGCTTGTCGACTCTCTGCTTTCAAGCGGAGAGGAACCTATACCGAAGGGAAGTCTCTCGTCTGGGCTTGTAGACAGAGGCCTAAGCACGTGTATGGGGATGTACGGGGAATTTTTGCACGAGCGTACGAGCGGGGGGGGGTCTCAGGTAAATACCGAGGAGTTAACGATTAACTTTTTATTACGTTCGTCTGTGTTCTTAACCGTGTACCGTGTTATTTTCCGGAATAAACTACTTACTTTCTATATGTGTGTCGACCTTTCATATTTACGACACAACGCCCACTTTACAGCCTTTTATGTACTGACCCAGAGAAGATTGAGACATAGCACATCATGGAGACTCATAGCTCTCTACGATTTCATCCCTTTACAGGTCAAAACAGTGTTTGTTTCCCTTACTATCCGTCCGTGCCGTTCTGTTGTCCATTTACACAAGCTCGTTAGGTAGGTCACTTGATATTTCCATCTGTCCCTCTTGCTTTCAATATGTCCCGGTAGTGTCAAATTTTACAAACCTTCTATCAACATTGTGTTGTCGAAATTTCAATCGTCTCTTTCTGATTCTAAATACAAGAGTCCTTCTTTAAAGCTTTTTCATCGCTTACGTGTTCTCTTCCTCGTACACCCAACATTCCTCGGTTGAACCACATCTTTGTCACTTCAATTTTCTTCATCTATACGAAGAATGCAGCGCATTAAATACCTTATTGGATGATTGATATCTTCTTTTTTTATGTTTACAGTAAGGTTCACCCTGTACAAGGCCCGGGTGAAACTCAGGATAAAAGGTTACATAAAAGGAAGTTTATATAAATAGGAGGGGAAGATAATGGTTAACTCGACTTGAACAGGTTAACATTGTAGTGATCGGGAAAACATCCTCTTGGGGTCTCTTCCACAGAGCAGAAGAAGTTGTTTGTGAAGGTTAGACCAGACAGAACCAAGGTATGTAGTTCGTCCGAGCAATTTCCATGGAAGTAGCGATATAGCAGTATGAGACTCTCCACATCTCACCTGTAAGAGAGAAGTTTGAGGGTGGAAAATAATTATTCTCCCACAAGGACTTAGAGACGCTTTTGAACTCTATCAGGACTGGGCGGCTCCCGCCTAAATATGGCAACAGTACTCCATTTTCGGACTGATCTGGCTCTTATAAAGGTAGAAGATAGCATAAGTCAGTATTTACATTATTCGGACTATTGTCCTCATCTTTGTCGCCATATTTATTACAACCTTTAGGCCGTTGTACGTTCCGGCCTTCTTCGGGTGGACGGAATGTCGAACTGAACCCTTTATTTCGTTCAATGCGGTAGACTGTTCTAGTTCCCCATGCCATGTTTAATGGATGTCAGTTATCAGCTATCTCCTGTTAATTCCCCTCTCCAAGTTCTCCACTGCCTTAACCGGGTATTGAACTCACAATCTTTGAGTCCTGTCACTGGATCTAACCAACGCCTTTATCCACTGTGACATGTGTCCCTGATAACTGACATCCATTAAACATGGCACGTGGAACTAGAACAGTCTACCCCAGTGAGCGAAATAAAGGGTTCAGTTCGACATTCCAACTACCTGAAGAAGGCCGGAGCGTACAACGGCCGAAACGTTGTAATAAATATGGCAACAAAGATGAGGACAATAGTCCGAATAATGTAAATATTGTACATAATACCTCATCTCAGAAATATAGACAGAGCATAAGTCAGGTAGTTACTAGAGCGGTACAGACAACCTATCATTTTACCGGAATCCTTAAAGATGGGCCGTATATAAGAGTTCAATGGGGTCGGGTGTGCGTTTGAGGGGCGGGGGCATCCGTTCATCATGACAGGTGATAGTTCAGGGTGAAATCGGCGGTAATGGAGTGTAACTCGTTTGGTTTTCGAGGTATTGAATCTAACCAGCCTGTTTCCCCCACTAGAAAGTTCATGTTAGATCGAAAGAAAGGCCAGCTTGCCAATTTCTTATCTTCAAGAGTTTCAGAGGTGCGCCCGTATATTGTCGTATCATCAGCATCGATGTTTACAAATGTTCTTGGTATATTCTTGGGCAGATCTTTTATCTAAATCAGAAAGAGCGTTGTTCCAAGAAGTGATACCTGGAGGACGCCTGCGTTGACCCCTGAGGGCCTCAAGGAACTGGCCGTTAATAACTACCTTCAGGGATCTATGGAAATTCATTATTCTTTTGTTTCTAACTTAATTTCCTTGTGGCTTAATATTTGTTTAGCTTTTGGATAGCTCTTCTCAGCAACTACCCTACAATGTTAGTTACAAAACTTAGCATAATTTGATAGTGTTTAATAGCATGGAATACTCGGTTATTCTCAAACTTATGCGACAAGGAAAATGGTTCGCATGGTCTGCTTATTGTGTAAAGCTTTCTTACTTCGTCTGGCTCGACGCCAAAGTATTGAGTCGCCTAGTAAGTATATTTGCAAAACGAAGAGTGTAATCTTAGAGATGACCTTTCTAACTAGTGGACTAATTAGAAAAAAGAGGAAGGACTAAGATTTATATTTCTTATTTAATAAACGTAGAATACCTTTGACTTATGTCTACATGTTTGTGACACCTACCGGGTATCGAACTCGTTAGTAATGATTTACAAGTTGTGTATTTACTCAACTCCCTACGGTAGCGAGATGTGACACAAGGTTTTTTCTTTTTTTTAATGTGTGCGTAAGTATGGGCCAAGGTCAAAAATATTGCCTAGACCCCACGACCACTGTCAGACTGGCGTCAGAATCCCCTAACTCTACCTCTAGTGTAATGAAAGAGGTGCCACCGCAGGGTTGTAATCTCTGGGACTAGCAACACTCAAAGCCTTTCTGTAAACTACCAGAATTCAGAGACACGGCAGAAAGGTGAAGAACAGATACTCCAATTGGATTCCAGTCCGAAGGATGAGGTATGTGAGGATTTAACAAGTCTTGTTTGTTAACCATTACAATTTAATGAGGCGCGCGCCAAGTGTTACAATTGAATATCTATAAATGTTTGCATACTTTTCTCTCTACTGTACTAAGTGAAATTTCCAATAAAGCTTCTCCTCGATGCCGTAAAAGCCCATCATTTCATATTTCTAAAATAGAATTTCTCTTTAGTAAATAATGCAAACGTTTTACGCCAGCGGCAAATACATGGCAAGTGTTGTTTCATCTGGAAATGAGGCAATGGATGTGAGAGTCAGCAGATTGTTTTGTTGAGTTGTTGTGGTGGCGGGGGCGCCGAGGAAATGATTCTGTATAATGAATTTAATAATTCCACTGAATTAAAATAGCTTGGAGATGAATAGATAGAGATTTGAACGGGACTGAAGTAGATAGGAACAAAATTATCGTGAGAGCGAAGGAGTAGATAAATGGGAACGAAGAAAGAATGAGGACAAAGTGAGATCCATATAGAGAGAGGTGAATGTGATCTAGATAGATAGATAGATAGATAGATAGAATGATATGAGCGTAGAAAGAAGGGAAAGATGGATGGGAGTGAGACCTATAAATGGTGATAGATAAATCGATAAATGATATTTATTCTGTAAGATATAGAATTCGATAAATTGGACTAAGGTAGACATGAATGAAGATAGATATAGCGATAAATTGGACTAAGGTAGATATTAGCGAAATTAAATCGGTAGGTAGATCAATAAATTGGACTAAGGTAGATATCAGCGAAATGAAATAGGTAGGTAGATCAATAAATTGGACTAAGGTAGATATCAGCGAAATGAAATAGATAGGTAGGTCAATAAATTGGACTAAGGTAAATATCAGCGAAATGAAATAGATAGGTAGATCAATAAATTGGACTAAGGTAAATATCAGCGAAATGAAATAGATAGGTAGATCAATAAATTAAACTAATGTAGATATCAGCGAAATGAAATAGATAGTTAGGTCAATAAATTGGACTAAGGTAAATATCAGTGAAATGAAATAGATAGGTAGATCATTAAATTGGACTAAGGTAAATATCAGCGAAATGAAATAGATAGGTAGATCAATAAATTAAACTAATGTAGATATCAGCGAAATGAAATAATAGTTAGGTAGATCAATAAATTGGACTAATGTAGGTAGCGAAGTGAAATCGAGAGATAGGTATAAGCGTATATATATATATCGTGGACTAAGATAGATATGAACAAAGTGAGAGAAAGTAATGGGACAGGTATGAACGCACTGAGATGGAGGGAAGGAGATGTCCAGTGGGTGGGGAGCGGAGATGTTAGTATTGAATGATTAGTGGCAAAATAATATGAATGTAGCTAGTTGGTTAGCAAGATAATTATCTTTCTTTATGAGACCGAGTTCCATCGCTGATATACATCGACAAGGAATTAACACCTGTCATATGACGATGTTTTAATGATGATAGTATACTTTCACAATTGTAGATAATAAATTTCGTTTTTTCTTTATTTTGGCCGTCCAGGACTTCAACTCCCTCCCCACACACACACGAGATGCTCGTAGATTTAAGCGGGGTTTTTTATGACATATATCACATTACCCAAACTAAAAACATAGCGTGACACATTTCGTGCAACCGAAACGTTTTAATAAGCTCTACAAAGAATTATTGTATGCAGATATATGGAATTAACAGGCAAGATAAAGATGGTATCTCGTATAAGGAGCTTAACTGACTGCAGCATTATCAACCGTTCTTGAAGCTGTAAAAAAATTACCACATTTCCTTGACCTTGTTCAACAAATATCTCGCTGCAATAATAATCAAAGAAACATAGGTTGCGATTTTGTGGTTAGCGTACTAGAATCGTTAGCCGTTGAGAATGGAACAGACTCGCATTGTGCCCTCAAGAAATGTGGCCTTGTGCCAAAATTGGTTTTGATCTTTACTGGGTAGAAAAGTCCGAAAGGTCGCTGAGTATAATATTCGACTTTGAATAATTTTGAATTATTTCAGCGTAAAATAAACAAAAAATATTTCTTTAGTCTAACAAATATAACCTAACATTTCGGATGCTGAATTTGAACGCTAGTTCTTAGACTTTAGAAAATTGAACCAAAACCCACATGTGGACCTACAGTTTTAGGGGCCCTGAAACTTGAGCAGATACGGAGGCCCTTTTGCAACCAGCAACAATAGATTCGTGCATCCAACTGTCAAAATGTAGGCTATGAATAGATTCTGGTGATTTCAACGACCCGCATACAGCACGGGGGGGGTGATTTTGAAATTTAACAAATTACAAGGAAATTTTGAGACCATATAAAATGGGTATTAGAGCATATTTAAGGTCAACATTAGCTACTTCAACACATTGGCTTATGTTTCTATCACTAAAATGGCTTTATTTTTAATAACAAGCACTTTTAAAAAATTTAAAAAAAAAAAAAACGATTTTGTAAAAAACCACTCATTAAAAAGTTGCATCGGGTGTTCCTTTGGGATTAGGGGTCCTGAAAGTTAGTAGATGCGCCACTGATCAAACCAAAACATTCGTGTATCTCTATATGAAGTATCACCAAACAGACCCGGAGAAGATTCTGGATCTTCTTCTGTCATGAGGAACATTTGTACTCTCAACAAGGGTCACATGTTCTGAACGTCGATTGGAACTCCATTTCAGCCGAGACCTTAAGTGGAACTCGTATAGATGATGTAACTAAAGAGGCTGGAAAAATATTTGTTTTCTTGCGCCGCTCTAGAAAGTACCTGACTTCTGCTGCCATGCTCTATCTTTTTACATGAATCTGATCAAACCTAAAGTAAATTAAGACTGCCATATCTGGGCTGGAGCTACCCCATCTTCACTTTTCGCCCTTTGTAGAGTCCGTAAGTGTCTCCGTGCCCTTTTAAGTGATAAATTATTTTCTATCCTACATCCCTCTCCCACAAACACAACGTCACAAGCCTATCCTTACTCTATTGCTATTTCCATGGCAAATGTTCAAATAAGTTAGATTTCTTAGTTCCACTAGTTCAGACCTTTACAGCTAATACTCACGATGTCGCGTATACAGGGTCGACTCATTCTCCTCCTCTTCCTATTTCATTGGTAAAGGGGAAGTTAAATTCGGATTTTTCTTCCTAAGAATCGCTACTTTATGTAGCAGACTCCTGAAAGGATGCTTTCCGATCACTACAATCTTAACGGTTAATACGGAACTTGTAGAGGTTATCTAAGTTCAACAACCTCATTCAGTAACCCTCTACCTTGAGTGACTCTTGGGATTTGTATTTGGTGATAAAAAAAAATAGTAAATGGCTAGAATCTCCTTACAATTCATAAACGCTTCAAACATTATGTTCGTTTCATTTCGTCATTGTTTGTATTTCAGCTTTGGTGCCATTTTTGACATTTTAAAAATTGAAATTATTTCAGTGGGGTTGGTTGTAAAAGGGCGGGTAAAACAGATCGGCGTATGAAATCGAATTTCCCGGTTCTAATCGTGAGTATTAGCGGCGAACACAGCTTCAATTAGAGCCGTGGTTCTTGCTGAAATGGCTTAATGGAGGCGAGACGTGTAAACTGTTGAGTTTGCCAGTGATTCAACGAAGCATGCCCCCAGAGAACAAAATCTCATTATATGAAATATTATCAACTTACCATCTTCTTCGTACTCATCATCACAGCCATTTTTGAATTTGTACTTTGCCTTTCGATATCTAGTTTGTTTTTTTGTTTTTTTTGAATACGAAAATTAACAATCTATTTGCTTGCCAATAAATTCAAGAATAAATAATTACTTATTGATATTATTGTTAGTATTATTACAGGTATTAGTATTATTCAATTTTCCTCTTAAAATTGGTTTCAGGCTAAAAAGAAATGAGAATAAATAAGTAAATAGATAAGAACGAATAAAGGAAAGTAAAATAAAAGTAAGTGAATATACGATATTTCCATAATGTATTTAATTTTCTGTTAACTTTCAAGGATGTGTGCATGCAGATCTTATTTTGAAGTGAAAGACCTTCATGTTGCAATATATGAAAGCTTTAATGCGTATCTATATGGTTACCCTGCGGGGTTGCATTTGTGTCTGTACACACATCAACGTGGGTGGATGTTGATTGAAGAGTCGGAGCGGTTTTGATATAGATGTGTGTGTGTGTGTGTGTGTGTGTGTGTGTGTGTGTGTGTGTGTGTGTGTGTGTGTGTGTGTGTGCGTATATATGTGTAAAAATCTAGCGATTGTTCATTCTTGATTTTTTTTGTCATTCGTATGGAAAGACATAGTTGATATATCCATTCCTATTTATATCGTCTTATATAAGACTTCCTTATAAATGGAATCTATATTAAATAAACACATATTTACATACATGTGCTTATTTGCATAATCATTTAGATAGGTAATGTAGAGACTGGGACATATAGATATGAGCATAGATAGATAGATAGATATGAGATAGCTATGAAATATATAGCAAGAAATAGATGAGAACAGACATGAGCCAGGATCGCCTACATCCTGAAAGGATATGTCATAAAGAAGACGGCAGCATAAAAGATTTGAAGTGACCTACGAAGCTGCCTGTCGTTGAATCTATTACCTTTATTTACCTGTTTTCAGAAACTCTCAAATATTTGTCTTTTTAGCATCTTGCGGCAATGAATGCTGGACAATTTCCTCAGAGACGAAGACGAAATTCGAATCGATAGAGATGCCGGAATTTGAGAATACCATTGACTAAACATCTGAGCAACGAGGAAGTGTTAAAGAAAATAGTAAGAGGATATTTATACTTCAAATCAGGAGATAATTGCAATTACTGTGGACATATAATGAGGAAATAGGACCTGGAGAATTTAATACTCACAACATATATTGAAAGATGACGGATCTGAGGGAAACAGAATTGTCTATCTAATGAGTTTGTATGAAAGGATAATAGAGCGAAGACAAAGGGCGGTAAAAAGTCAAAGGTTACTTAGAGCTACAAGGGACCGAAAATTGTTACGTCTCCTGATTGCCTATGTTGTGAATGGTAATGGTAGTATTAACCAGCCGTTTCCCTATAAGGAAAAAAGAGCCATTCATTGTCCGAGCAGCCAGTACTGTTTTCGGTTGAAATTTATAAAAGTATTCTCTTAAAACACTTCCTTTAAGAAAACAGGTTTCTCAAGTCCAGTAGTTTTTACAGCTTTTTCCAGTATTGATGGCGGTTTTCCTTTCGAACTTTCTATTTGAAGTGGTGTTGAATGTTATCTTGATTATGACATTATTTTCTCCTTCAGTTCCATTTGCTATCCATTTTAGTTGCGAATTTTTTAATAAAAAAATTATTACCAGCAATACATTTTTGAAAAAAAAAATATTGCAAGCAATATATTTTTGGAAAAAAATATTACCAGCAGTACATTTTTGGGAAAAAAATTACCAGCAATACTTTTTAAAAAATATTACCAGCAATGCGTTTTGGAAAAAAAAGCACTTGTTAGGGCCCCAGCTATGGGTAAATAGTTAACCCCCAAAGTGGGTTCAAAGCACTATGAAAGTGTAAAAATAGGTTTTCATACCAGCTATGCATTTTTGTAAAAACTTATTATCAGCAATAAATTTTTGAAGAAAAATTATTACCAACAATACATTTTTGAAGAAAAATATCACTAGCAGTATATTTTAAAGAAAATATTGCCAGCAATAGATTTTGGGTAAAAACACATATATTACCAGAAATAGATTTTGGGGAAAAAATTTGTAATAACAGCAATGCATTTTTTTTTTTTAAATTATTACCAGTAATAAAAGTCTTGTCGGCATTAAATAACACATTGAGGTTGATATGCCGTAAAACAAACCAAACCAAACCAAACCATTTTAATTGCCGCTGCTGCTGCTGCTGTTGTTGTTAGTCCTCAAGTGATGTGATTTTTGCTATTTTGTACGTGATTCTGTAGCGCCAGTCCACAATGTTCAAAGGATGATCTTTGCCAAGATTCTCAGGCTTTACTCACTCAAAGCATTTTTCACCATTGATCTTGGCATACAGCTGACAATTTAGATATTTCAGAACAGGTTTGGCGCCACGCATGGCATCCATAGGAAACTGTCGATCTGACGAGGCTATTTAAGAATATAACTAGTTTTCAAGTTGATATTTTGGTTTTGTAGCAATTTGCGGTGTTAGGCGAAACTATCTCTGGTGCAGCCTATTCTATGATCAATTTCTTTTTCTCTTATACTTAATTTTTTCATAGCTGATCCATACGCCTTGGTATCTGAAGTGTTTAGTATTTACTAATAAAATATCCTGTATTTTTTATGATAGATTCAGGGTAGGTATCATAACTGCTTTAATTCCAATTCCAGATCATAGTTTCTATTTTGGAAAGGTTTATTTTGAGTTCCATTTCTTGGAATACTTAATAGAGGATGCTGATTCTCTGTTCAAGATCATTCTTATTCCAATGATGAACATCTACTTCATCAGCATAGACCCCCACCTCATCATCAGTACATTGACCTTGGAAAGGAAAAGCAGAATCGTTGTCTTTTATTGGTGGACTCGTTTGGAATGAGGTATGGAATATTTAAATGGTCAGTACCCATCTAATTACATTGGTGTTTATAAAACTGCATGGATAAAAGAAATATGCATAAAATGCGGATATAGGTATTTTGATACATGCATTAATGAAGGTACCTCCACTCAGTTTCGATACCTAAGGTTTAAAATTATTTTTTTCAGTGAGTAAGTGGATGCACCTACATTAATGATTTACTTTTGCTCATCTCATCCCAGCGAGTACGTCTTTTTTCAAATTCTTGGAAATAGGAAATCATAAAAATGTATAAAAAATAAGTTTTTCAAGTTCCAATATACAAGAGCGAGTCCTTGGAATCATGTGTTTGGTGGATATTCACCAGGTAACACTCTTGTCGCTTTATGCAGGACTAAGTTAAATATTTATTATTATATACATAAATCCGTCCTGGGTATGACGATAAACTACATCCGAGTCCTGGGTAAGACGATAAACTACGTCCGACAGCAAGGCCTCTGATCAGGAGGTCTTGAGGAGTGTGGAATCACCTCTTAATTGCTCGAGTTCCCAGGTCCACCCTAACCTGGGGTGGTAGCACCTGTTAGGGTCCCAGTTATTGGCAAATAGTTAACCTACAAACTCGGATCAAAATACTATGAAAGTGTAAAAATAGGTTTTAATACCAGAAATACTTTGTATAAAAAAGTATTACCAGCGAAGGGAAATTCTTACCAGAAATAGATTTAATTTTTGAAGGAAAAAATATTACCAGAAATAGATTTTTGGAGAAAAAAATGTTACCAACAATGAAAACTGTCGGCATTAAATAACCCATTGAGGTTGATATGCCGTAAAACAATACAAACAAATCAAATATATACATAAATACTTTGAAAATTATTCAAACATTATTCTAAAAAAGATTGGATCCAAGATATAAAATTACCTCTTTCTTCTATTGGTTCTTTTAGTCCTCACATTTGAGCGAGCTTGTCTCTGAGCTGGTCTTTTAGGCCTTCTACATCATTGTAAAAAAAGTCATCAATTATAACTGATGTGAAAACATAATTATTAATAATAATAGATATCTATGAAGCGTAGCTTATATGTGGTACAAGACCGCAAGTATGGAACACTGAATGAGGATCGAACTCGCTATTCAGTTGTAATGGATCTAACTATGCCTCTTATTCTATAACCCTTTACCTCTACCCCGAGTTGCTCTTGGGCCTTGTACATGGTGAACATCATTGTAACAAAGCAAAAAACAAGGAGCCCATTTGAAATGGAATAAAATATTCATTATATATAAAAGATATAACTTAAAAACGTACCTCATGATATGTCAGTATCCTAACTTTTGACTAACTAACTCATTGTATCTAAAAAAAAAAAAAAATGACCTCTCATTGTATAAAAAAAAATTGACCTCTCATCGTATCTAAAAAAAAAATTATAAATGAATTCTAGACTCCCCATTATGCCCGTATCCTTGTTTTTGGTTAAAGAATTGACCTCGCCCACACACACCCCGCTACTAAATAGTATCTAAAAAGTCAACGTCCGAATATAACAGATGGCGTGAATATAATCAGGCTTATTCTATCATGTTTAAGCGTCTTCGTTCTTCTTCAGCCCGACGGCACTCAAATGGCGAATGAATTTACGCGGCTAAAATCGACGTTCTTAATTTTACAAGGTTGGAAATTATATGTAAAAGAAGATGCTCTGCCGAATGATAAGTGGACCGTAAAATATTCTTAATTTTTCCGAGTCATATTTCTTAAAGGCAAACGTAAAGAAAGAGTTCAAAATGTCACTGATATAAAAAAAAACAATTAAAGAAATCGTTATTTTCATAACATTCACTCCTTAATTAATAATGGCGTTGTTATTATCATTTTCATAATTGTTCTTTTTCTTTTTTTTACCATTCTCGTCATTATTATTTCTGAGTGGAAGTGCAGCATGCCAGTAAAGTGGTGCTGGGGTACAAATTGACCCATCATGACATCCAGTCGAATAAGGGTATACCAAGCACTTGCATCACTTGATAAAAGCAGTGCATAATCTTGCAAGTGGAACCTAGTTTCAAATACCTTCACCTCGAGTAACCCAGCCCACCCGATTAGGGTAAGACGATAAACTACATCCGGCAACAAGGTCTCTGATCAGGAGGTTTTGAGGTTCGTGGAACCACCTTTTAATTGCTGGTGTTCCCAGGTCAACCCTGACCCAGGTTGGTAGCACCTGTTAGAGTCCCAACTATAGGTAAATAGTTAAACACCAAACTTGAGTCAAAACACTATGAAAGTGTAAAGATATAAAAAAAAAACAGCCACGTCGAAAAGGTTTTTTCTTTTTTTTTTTTGAATGACAGTGATGTCGGGTTTGGTGGCCTCGAGGATGGGCTTTGTTGATGTTAGATGCTGAAATATTATTTGATTTGATATTCCCTCTGACTCTTGGATGTGACGACTGGGTAATGATGATCCTATCTCAGTTCCTATCCGCAACAACACTTACCTCAGCAGATGAGTTGTTCCAAGAAGTGCTGGCACCTGCTACTCTCAGTGATATGTATCACCAAGGCGTCAATGCGAGGCAGAAAGATTGTTGGAAATATTCCTGGGCGCGCCAACCACAAAAGGGTCAACTTGAGCTGCTAATTTATCTATCTCCCTATTTGGCTTTCCAGATTTTGCTAACTCTACCCCGCCATCACAATGTACATACCGCAAGGTACAATCAGGACCCATTCATAACTGCGTTTGTGCAGAAGTGTGAAATCACGACAATGTCAGTCAAGATGGTCGGCTACTAAGAGTAGTAAATTCTCGTACCAGTCCTCTGCATACGTTAGGTGCTACATCCCTGTATAGTTCCCGGTGTATTCCGAAAGGCTACTTTGTCATAGCGTCGTCACTGCTCTTTTTGGTCTGGCTGAGAGCATCCATTGACAATGTGTTTGACACTTTGAGTAGCTTTTCTATACAGCCTGCACAAGAGTTATTATCATTATTATTATTATTATTATTATTATTAACACACGCCTCTTTTAGTATAATGCATTAAATTAAATTTCCGTCCTGGGTATGACGATAAACTAGATTAGGCGTCCTGGGTAAGACGATAAACAACATCCGACAGCAAGAGCTGTGATCAGGAGGTTTTGAGGAGCATAGAACCACCTCTTAATTGCTGGTGTTCCTAGGTCCGCCCTGGCCCGGCGTGCTAGTACCTGTTAGGGTCTCAGCTATGGACAAGTAGTTGACCCCCAAACTGAGGTGGAAATACTATGAAAGTGTAAAAATAGGTTTTAATACCAGCAATATATTTTTGTAAAAGTTTATTAACAGCAATTAATGTTTAAAGAAAAAAAATATCACCAGAATACATTTAAATATATATATATATATATATTACCAGCAATAAAAATCTTGTCGGCATTAAATAACCCATAAAGGTTGATATGCTGTAAAACAAAAACAAAGCCAAACCAATAATTAATACCAGCAATAAATTTTTGGGGAAAAATTATCATCATCAATAGATTATTACCAGCAATACATTTTTGAAGGAAAAGAAATATGACCTGCAATGCATTTTTAGAAAAAAATATTACTAGTACTAAAATTCTTGTCGCCTTTAAATAACCCATTGAGGTTGATATACCGTAAAACAAACCAAGCCAAACTAAAATTAAATTTTATTAGGACCAAAACAGGAAATACTGGTAAAGCGGATTTAAAACCATTAGAAAATCGTTCATTTAATTTGCCATATTGACACAAAGTGCCTTTCAGTAATGTGCTAGAAATCAAAGTTTCATTAGTTGTGAAGCTTTCATCGAAAACATAAAAAATGGTTCTTAATTCTGCAGAAAAACGAAAGGTAAATTAAATAGAAGTTACTAAATTTAATGCATTGTATGGTTTTCTTCTCAGAAACGATACACTAACAAGCCAAAATACGTTTTCTTACTTTTCTTTATTGAATCCTCTATATATAAATATATCTATAAATTATGATTGCAAGAAAAATAACAAAAAAAAAAAACTACAGACATTTAAAAAAAAAAAACTAATGTATTATCTTTCATAAATTTTTCTATGTGGCCCTCAGCCTACATCATTAAAATGAAACAGCCCTGAATGCCAACACGGACTGAAGGTTTCTTATTTTGTTCTCAGCCTTTTACTGTGCTTTACTAAGCGTAGCTTAGATGTTGCACAAGGCCGTGAGTATGGTGCACTCAGTGGTGATCGAACTCACTACTCATGTCGTAACTGATCTAGAGAGACAAGCTGCCTAACCATTACAACACGTTGATATTTATCCGCGCAAAAATCGAAGTTTAATATGTCCCGTATCAACCATCCAACTAATATATATATATATATGTGTGTGTGTGGGTGTGTGTGCGCGCGCGTGCGTGTATATATATATATATATATATCTTTATATATATATCTTTATATATATAAAGAAAACACCGGGTGTAACAGCAAAATTCTCCATCCCACAAAATGCTTAATATCTAAAAAAAAACAAAAAACAATAAACTAATTGAGTTTCTTTTTTTCAGGTTTACAAATAAGATCTTTAACCAATTGTTGTAAGAATCATTGAAAAATCCTTTTAGTTCTTCAGCTAGAAAGAGAACAGGTTAAAATCGCTTTGTGTCAGCCCTACTGTCTTTCCAAATGAACAATAGTGAGGGGAAAAAGATCATTTAGGCCTTCATTAATGGTACCAAAATTCTTACTCTGGCTTCCATCTTCGAAGTCCATTCGAGAACCATCAAGAGAACAGTGAATAAGTTTAAAAAAGAGGGAAAAGTAGCGAGTAAAACTGGATCAGGAGGTCACACCAGGATGCAGGATCATTATTTTAACTGTATATATGAAAGTGTAAAAATGTTTTATTACCAGCAATATATTTTGAAGAAAAAATTGTTACCCGCAATAAATTTTTGAAGAAAAAATTATTAACAGCAATAAATTTTTGAAATTAATATTATCAGCAATAAAAATCTTGTCGGTATTAAATAACCCATTAAGGTTGATATGCCGTAAAACAAAACAAAAAAACAAACCATCGTTCTTACAAGTGGAACAGGAAGGGAATGATGATTAGTCGACACTGTGTACGTGGCATGATGGGTCCTAGTTGTAAAGGTCTGTGTTGTGTCGGAAACCTACCACCCCTCTTGAAGATGAACTTGTCTGCGAACAAAGACTTTAAATAGTGGCATGTCAAAAGACAGATAGACAGAAGTTCTTAGCTGAGCTAGTTATTGACTACTCAGGCGATTTCTGTACCTTTTTACCAACCTATTAAAACCCTTTTTATTGTTACGTGTTATTTGGCGTTTGTCTCTACTAACCCCAAATCAACATCATAACAGTCTGAAAAGGTAAAACTAAAGAACGTCACTCGTCTTAACATTTTCCATGAAAATAGCGATAGCCACGAGAAGCTGGCGACATTTTGTCAGTGAGAAAAGGGGTTGTATAGTGGGAAATAATTCATCACCCACAAGGCCGCATAAACACTTTTGAACTCTTATAGTACAGGAACTCACAAGAAAAATATACAATAAATAAATTAAGAATTATGACTAATCAAAAAATTAACAACAAACAATTTTAACTGTACTGTTAGTCATTATTATTATATTAAATAATTAGTTGGCTTCCTTGGTTGCTTGAATAGTTATGTGTTTCTCATTGGCAGAAGTGGTCAGTTTTCGAAGCCATCTAAGAGGCAAGATTTCAAGATAGGAACATCTAACTCGTTTGGAAGTTTGGTGCGACAATATCTCAAACATGCTCTTTTTTTGCGTTAGAAATAGAGAGAAAGGTCGATATTTCTGTCTCCGTTGTAATGTTCTTCATGTTGGGAATTAAAACCGCGACTCTTTCTACTCTCGTTAAAGGCCAGATTTTGACTTAGATTCGAAAAAGCCATACACGTTGCTCTCGGCACTACACCACGACTGATCTGACCCCCCTTACCCGCCTATTATGAGCAATCTAATGTGACACTTGTTCTCGGCAGAACCCCCTTGAAATCAGCGTCCTTTCAATAATGCTTGCTCAGCGAATACCCAGAAAGCAATAGACCAGAAACAGTGGTGAAATGTGCCCGGATGTGAATGGCCCATGCCTGACAATGAGAACAAACTATAAATGAAATATAACGATCAGATCGGGTAATTGGTGAGCTTGTTGTGTGCATCTGTGAAATGTTTGGGTGGGTCGGTGGAATAAGTCCCGAGAAGGAAAATAGAGATCGGCGAAAAGACGGTTATTAAAGAAAGGACGACAGAAAGAAAATAATATGTGTTACAGAAAGTTGGGGGGGGGAGGATAGACAGAAAATAACAGAATTACTAGAACTTTATTTGATTTAAAAAAAAAAGAAAAAAAACAGAGATACAATCGGAGAGAAAGAAAGGGTAGCAAAGAGGAACACGTAGGGAAACTGAGGGGATGTTTTTTGATAGCGATCCGAAGAGGGGGAGTTATTAAATAAAAAAAGGACACGAGGAAATGAAGGCAATCATTGCCATAGCGGAGTGGTTAGTACGCTGGATTAACAAACCATAATAGTAAGTTCATTCTTCACTAGATGCTTCATATAATTCAATGTTTTTTTGCCGATTTGTTATAAACACAGCAAATCAAAATAAAGCGTGAAAGACAAGAGGAAGAGTAAGGAGGGCGAAAAAAAATGAAAAGGGGGCAGAAAATTAGGTTTTTACGAAATAAAGAACAATAAATTGACAGAGAAGAATATTAGATAAAAGATAATCGAGAGAGTAAGAGTGAAAGTAAAAGGGGGTGGGGGCAATGATTTGAAAACGAGTGGAAGAAAACGTAAGAGGAAAGTTGGATGTGATTGAGGTGCGAGTTGAAAAGGAAAGCAGATAACAGAAATAAAGAGAGGGAGGAATAAATATTGGCGGCGGGTGAAGGGGAGTAAAGAGCGGTGAAAGGAAAAGTAAAGCAATAGTAAAACAGGCATTGGAGAGGGAAGCGAAGAAGAAAGAAAAAAGATGAAGTTAAATAGGTATAAAAAAAACAAGAAAAATAATGATTACAAAAGAAAAAGAAATCAAAGAAAAAAATGGTTAAAAAAGAATTGAAAAAAAAAGAATGTCTAAAAAAGAAAAAGAGAGATTGTCTAAATGAGGGTAAAAAGAGAAAATGTCTAAAAGAGAGAGAAAAAAGAATGTCTAAAAGAGGGTAAAGAGAGAGAGGGGGAAAAAGAATGTCTAAAAGAGAGAGAAAAAAGAATGTCTAAAAGAGAGAGAAAAAAGAATGTCTAAAAGAGGGTAAAGAGAGAGAGGGGAAAAAGAATGTCTAAAAGAGGATAAAAATAGAGAGAGAGAGAAAGTGTTTAAAAGGGGGTAAAAAAAGAGAGCGAAAATAAAGAATGTCTAGAAAAGGGTAAACTCTTCTAGATAAAAATAAAAGATAAAAAAGAATGTCTAAAAGAGGGTAAAGAGAGGGACAAATGTCTAAAAGAAGGTAAACAGAGAGAGATAAAAAAAAAGAATGTCTTATAGAGGATAAAAAAGATAAAAAAGAATGTCTAAAAGAGGGTAAAAAGAGAGAAAGAATGTCTAAAAGAGGATAAAAAGAGGGAGATAAAAATGAATGCCTAAAAGTGGCTGAAGAGAGAGAGAAAAGAATGTTTAAAAGAGGGTAAAAAGAGAGAGAAAAATGTCTATAAAAGGTTAAAAAGAGAGAAAAAAGAATGTCTAAAAGAGGGAAAAAGAAAAAAAGAATGTCTAAAAGAGGGAAAAAGAAAAAAGAATGTCTAAAAGAGGGAAAAAGCAAAAAAGAATGTCTAAAAGAGGGAAAAAGCAAAAAAGAATGTCTAAAAGAGGGAAAAAGCAAAAAAGAATGTCTAAAAGAGGGAAAAAAGCAAAAAGAATGTCTAAAAAGAGGGAAAAGCAAAAAAGAATGTCTAAAAGTCTAAAAAGAAAAAAGAATGTCTAAAAGAGGGAAAAAGAAAAAAGAATGTCTAAAAGAGGGAAAAAGAAAAAAAGAATGTCTAAAAGAGGGAAAAAGAAAAAAAGAATTTTGAAAAGAGGGAAAAAGAAAAAAAGAATGTCGAAAAGAGAAAAAAATTGAAAAATAATCTGAACGGAAATAAAGACAAAGGAACGTTTGAATGACAGAAAAATGTTTTTAATGTTAAATAAAAGAAATAAAGCAAATGGGAAAGAAGAATATTATAAATTACAAAAATTACGAAATAATTTGGAAAGGAAAAGAATGAAAACAAATATGAATTAATGAATGCAATAAAAAGAGAAGAAAAATGCGGGAGCGAAAGGTGTGAGTTGAGTACAGAAAAAATAAAAGTAGAAAGGACAGAAAACTAGAAACTGTAAATGCAATTGAGGCCCAGAAAAAAAAAAAAGATAAAAGAAGAAATAACTGACGTCGAAAAATGAAGAAACTTAGGAAGGAGGTCCTAGGACAATGTTGCAGAGAATGCCGACTCCCTGAGACAAATCATTTCATTATTCACAATCAATCTTTTAACTGGGGCGATTGACGAAGCAGAAAAGGCGCGCGATTTGCTGTTCATTATTTTCCAATGCAAGTAAAGTGGACCTGACTATCAGTTAACGGACCAAAAGAAGATGTTAAAAGAAAAAAAAAAGAACTGTGAATGAAATTAAAAAGAAAAAGAAAATGGAGGAGTAGAAATATAGAAGAAAGTGTGACGGATAAAATAAAGAGATGTTTGTGAACATTTAAGAAAGAATAGAAGTTCAAACTGCATCATGGTTGCTTCTGTTTGGGAAAGAGAGCGTTGTCTCTAACAGGGTTGGTGAAAAAAATATTGTTATTCGTATGACGATAATGGCGGATGGCAGTCACACCCAAAAACATCTCTTCAATCTTTTCGCCAAAAGCCCGTCCGCTGCTTACATTTGTTCAATCAATATCAACCATCAAATTATAATAAAATAGTCGTCTCGGGCAATTCCTTTCTTGTCTAATGACATTCGATCACAAACAGTCGTTAATCACCGCTGGCTAATTTTTTTGATGGGTTTCATATTCAGTTCTTTCTGTTTCATTATTTTCTTCCTTTTATTTTTCACTCATTTCTTTCTTTGAAGACGCTTGTTCCTTAAATTTCCGGTTTTTTCTTTTCTTTTTCTTTTTGTATTTATCGTTCAATCTTCTTTTGATTTCAAGCAAGCTTAACTTATTACCGTACAAGACAAATGGATAGAAAATAAAGAAAGGAAGAATGTGTTACGCCAGTTTTGCAAGTAAGGCTGGCTTCCCAATATCGAAAGTCACTATTTACCTAGATTTACTCCACCTTTTTGCTATTTAATTATTTAAATGACGAGGCGTGTTTGATATTTGTTGACGTTAGCTTGGCACAGGGGCGGGGCACTCAGTGAATATCAAATTAATTACTTTAATACAATCCAAGACTAATTTACTATCCGCTGCTCATAAGTTAAGAGGCACTCAAGATCGAACTCTTTACACTAGTGAAATGATCTACTATACAAACTTGATAATTATCAAACTACAAGTGCTATACTTCCTTTTTGTAAATTTGTTTTTCTTTTTTTCTCTCTTTTTATTTTTCTAGTTTCCTTTTTCTTTATTTCTTTATACTTTGTCTTTCTTTTCCTTTTCTCTTTCCTTTTCTCTTTCTTTTCCTTTTCTCTTTCTTTTTCTCGTTCTCTTTCTTTTTCTCGTTCTCTTTCTTTTCTCTTTCTTTTCCTTTTTTCTTTCTTTTCCTTTTCTCTTTCTTTCTCTCTATCTTTTTCCTCTTTCTTTTTCTTTCTTTTTTCTTTGTCCTTTTCTCTTTTTCTTTCTTTCTTTCTCTTTCTCTCATACTTTTTTCTCTCTCTTTCTAATCTTTCTCACTTACTCTTTCTCTCTCTCTTTTTGCCCTTTTTTCAACACCATCTCTTCTATTTTCGCATTCTCACTCTTGTTTCAATTTTTCTTTCATCTTCTCCCCACTTTCATAGAGCAGTGTATTTTTTTCGCATTTTACCTGCCGCTATTACTCTCGAATCCAAATTGTAGTGGACAGAAAGAAATGTTAAAATATAATAGGTGACAGGTTGAAAAAAAGATGAGAAATATCTGCTCCTACGACCATATTAAAAGATATTTGATTGCATTGCAAGGTCATCTTATTAAGAATGGAAAAGTAAACTATATATGCGTGTTAAAATTGCTATACAAACTTGCCTCGATTTTGACTGACAAATACATAAAGCCTGAGAGATTATTTCAAAAGACACGCTATAGAATTGTTCAAGTTGGAAATTTTTGTGAATATTAATGAGAGGGTTTATTGAAATAAGAATATCCTGGGTGGAAATATTAATTGCTTGGAGAGGGTACGTCTCCAGGATATAATGCAGATGATTCTGCGTAATTGACTTATTTCTAAAAATAAAAGCGACAGTTTCTCTCTGCAATATTTAGTAAATCAACAATGTCGGTAATATTGTTGATATAATATATCTTTTTTTATTGTTTTATGTTTTTTTAACATTGTACTTAGTTACCTTTCGGCTTACGACCGTATCACGTTGAAACACCGGTTCTTCTACGATTATCGAAGTTAATCAATGTCGAGCCTAGATTTGGAATACCAGATCCTTTAAGCGTGGATATGCGAGTGGTGTAATGGATAACAGCTCGGAACTGGAGTCAGGGAACCGAGTTCCAGTTCCAGTTGGGTTCGTTATGTTCAGTTACGTGCAAATACACTTGGAAGGGTATGAATTCACCGATTCCCCCAGCTATGGGTTAATTACTAGGGGTTTTATGAGTAAATTATTATCTCCACAACCTAAAAGTATTTTCTGGCTCTATATAACCTGTAAAATATTTAAATGTAAAAAACAAATAAATCGATCAATCCTTTTCATTCTGTCCGAGAATTTATAAATATGGCACTAAAACAGTTATGACAGCTGTTTCGACTTGAAGGTACGCTGCAAATCGATATGATTTCTCATCTTCAGTAACTTTATAAATATTAGTAATATTTGTAATATTAGTCCACTGTTAAGCTCCGCGTCACGAAAGTGCTACAGGTCTTGCAAGTTCTTCAGTTTTTGGTAACTTTTATTTTAAAATTTTGTAAATGCAGCCAATTGCATATAAAAATTTTACCATCGAGACATTTAATGTTAGTGAACTTGTGACAAAAGAAAAACAGGAATGATTGGATCGGGTCGTTGATAGTTAAAACTTTGTTTTAGCTTTTCTACAAGAAACCAAAATGAAAAAAGGACTTGATATTACAGCACGACTTAATAGCTTTGGAAACAAAAAATAAATATGGAGGAAAAGGGGTGATCACCGCCCTCTGTGGGATGAGGTTGAAATGATACAGAGAACATCACTGGAAAATACGAAAACTTATGGAATCAGCATATATGCTAGGTCACAAAAATCCCCTGAGCCGACCAGGCATAGGAATGAATACAATATGGGAACCAGTAATAAGGAGTGCTACAGAAAAGCAACGAATAACAACAAAAATTGCAATATAAGATTTGGTAAAAAATGCAGTAATAATAATAGAAAAATTGCAATATGAGCACTGGTAAAAAAAAATGAGGCTGAGACATTAGGTTTATAAGTCCCAAAATATAGACAGAAAATAAATATGAAAATGGTTTTGACATTAAACCCAAATGGAAGAATTAAATAGACATTGAACGAACAACCATAGAATACACATTGATATTAAAAGAAATATTAATAAAATTAAAAATAGCAAAAAAACAAAAAAACATTGATCGTTAAATTCTGTCTGGTATCCGGATATCAGAACGAACTAACGGAATTCTATCGCTTTAGATTAAGTTTGAGGTGTGTACGCGTGCCTATATTCATGTAATGGTTAAATGTGCCGTTTTATCATCTTATGGAGATTATCACATACTTAAGATATGGCCAAGTGGTTAGAACCGTTTTTTAAATCTCCTTATTGTCTTATGGAAGATTTTTTGATAATATCGGCCTGGATCATACTTTGAAACCAAACCTTGTGAGACACGGGTTGAACCGAAGCCTTGTGGAATGAAATTAGAAACGAAACTTTTGAAGTCATCGATGGTTGTGCCATCGACTTTGTGCGTTACCTACCTTGTTTGGCAGCTGATCACTTCAGTTTATACGCTCTCTCCTAGAAACTATAATTAAGGTCTTGTCAACTTGATTGCAGTATAAACCATATTGTTAACTCTGTGGTTGCTAAAGAAACAAAAAAATATGCCTGAACAGGTGCCTGCAACGAGAATTAACTCGATGCCCCAGCAAAGTGTACTCTGGATCACCCAACTATCATATATATATATATATATAGAGAGAGAGAGAGAGTGAGTGCTAATCTGTTAGCCATTATACGTCTTTTTTTAGCTGCTGTTTATATATATATATATATATATATATATATGAAATGGTGTTTTTGTCAATAATAACCGAACACGGTCAGCAAACTATTTTATTATTAATGCTTTCATTTCTAACAGTTTTTCATTTTTATTTTATTTATTTATTTTATTTTTTACATATGACTATTATGGTTGTATTTTCAACAAGTTGTTGCGGACAGATGTTGGTTAAAAAAGATTTTGCATTGTCAATCGACTTCAATGTAACTTTTATATAGTTAAAACTTTGTTTTAGCTTTTCTACAAGAAACCAAAATGAAAAAAGGACTTGATATTACAGCACGACTTAATAGCTTTGGAAACAAAAAATAAATATGGAGGAAAAGGTGATCACCGCCCTCTGTGGGATGAGGTTGAAATGATACAGAGAACATCACTGGAAAATACGAAAACTTATGGAATCAGCATATATGCTAGGTCACAAAATCCCCTGACCAGGCATAGGAATGAATACAATATTGTAATAAGGAGTGCTACAGAAAAGCAACGAATAACAAAAAAATTTGCAATATAAGATTTGGTAAAAATGCAGTAATAATAATAGAAAAATTGCAATATGAGCACTGGTAAAAAAAAATGAGGCTGAGACATTAGGTTTATAAGTCCCAAAATATAGACAGAAAATAAATATGAAAATGGTTTTGACATTAAACCCAAATGGAAGAATTAAATAGACATTGAACGAACAACCATAGAATACACATTGATATTAAAAGAAATATTAATAAAATTAAAAATAGCAAAAAAACAAAACATTGATCGTTAAATTCTGTCTGGTATCCGGATATAAACGAACTAACGGAATTCTATCGCTTTAGATTAAGTTTGAACGCGTGCCTATATTCATGTAATGGTTAAATGTGCCGTTTTATCATCTTATGGAGATTATCACATACTTAAGATATGGCCAAGTGGTTAGAACCTTAACTTTCTGACCATGACACTCGAGTTTAAATCTCCTTATTGTCGAATTGTCAAGGAAGTGACTTTTTGATAATATCGGCCTGGATCACTACGTACGGGTTGAAACCAAACCTTGTGAGACACGGGTTGAACCGAAGCCTTGTGAATGAAATTAGGTAAACGAAACTTTTTGAAGTCATCGAAAAAATTGCGATCGAACAAGCTGATCACTTCAGTTTATACGCTCTCTCCTAGAAACTATAATTAAGGTCTTGTCAACTTGATTGCAGTATAAACCATAGTTTAACTCTGTGGTTGCTAAAGAAACAAAAATATGCCTGAACAGGTGCCTGCAACGAGAATTAACTCGATGCCCCAGCAAAGTGTACTCGAAA